CCAAGCTTCTATACGCATGGTCACGCATACATATATATATATATCGTCTATAGGCCTATATATATATATTGACGACTCACTCCTCGACCGCTCGACGCCGTCCCCGACACGTACACCGTTACTGTCACTGTTACTGTCACTGTTACTGTCGTTGTGACTGGCAATGTCACTGTTAGTGTCAATGTTACTGGCGCTGTCACTAGCAATGTCACTGTCACTGTCACTAGCAATGTCACTGTCACTGTCACTAGCAATGTCACTGTTACAGTCATTACCATTGTCATTGTCACTGTTACTGTCATTGTTACTGACACTGTCACTGACGATGACAATGACAGTCAATGTCCTTGACACTGTTCCTGACACTACAGAAAAAAAACATCACAAACTCATTTCCATACATTCCAAAAATTTTGGCTTGCAGTCGCAAAACGTATTCGGGGAGGGAGGGAGGGAGGAGAGGTCCCGCCCCCCTGACGCCCCTCCCCCCACTTCAGCCAGCCGCCGATGGCGCTGCTCTTTATACAGAGAAAGCTGCCGTGAAGGACGTCAATGCTAGCGTCGTAGATATGAAGGTGACGGTGCCGGAGACGGTCGTCAGCCCGGTGCCGACGATACAGGAGAGCAGGGAGGAGGCGGGAGCAGACGAGATTCTCATGACGATACGCAAGAACGGACAGATCATACAGAGACCGCCGCGGCCAAAGTATTATGCGCAAATATACATGCGCGCACACGCCCGCACACACGCACGCAATCACACACACGCGAGCACGAACGTACGTACGTACACACGAACGTATGCAGGCACGGACGCACGTACGCCCGCACGCACACGCACCCACACGCGCGCGCGCACACACACACACGCGCGCGCGCACACACACACACGCACACACACACGCGCACGCGCGCGCACACACACACACGCGCGCGCGCACACACACACACACACGACACCACTCACCGCACTCGCAGCTACGCACAGAGGCACGCACGAACACGCGCCGCGGCGTGCGCACACATACACCTGAGACACACACACGACACGACTCTCTATTCACGTAGTGCAGTTAAGCCTGTAGCAACTACAGAGCTACTTTTGAAAAACTCTAGTTTGATATAGGCTCATCACTGAGTTGCCATCACTCCACGCAGTGCGGCGGAGTATACAGCTATGGGCAGTCATAACCGTTCTCGGGTTCTCGACAGGAGTTTCACTGGAGGCGGTGAAGACAACAGGTTTCAGGCAGGACGTTCTTCAAGAGGTTCCTGGCGCATGAAGAACAGCGACACGCCGCTTGCTGTTCATCAAACCCATCGAGCGAGTTGAAAGAACAAGTGCAAGGACGCGAAAGGACGGGCAGAGCAGACGGCGGTCAGTCAATACAAGGCGCTTCTTCAGCAAAGCAGGCAACGCTGGTAAGCGACACGCCAGGGCGCGCTGCGATCGCGCGCTCGCGCTAGCATCGGTCGGTACTCTAATATTATACTAACAGTAGTTAGTAATATATTGATAGAGATGCAGTGGGCGCATAACAGGCAATCAACCCTGCGTATAATGACCTTCTGGCCACATGTTCAGTTAACGAAGTGGCGCAAATTCACGTCTGTCGTTGTGTATCGCGTGTAAGCGCGATAAAGCACAACAGCCACGCGTTTGTTTGTGTTTTTTTAGCTATGCTGTCACATTGCATGCAGCCTCACAGAGCAGCATTCTGTATTCACTAGGCGTGCCTGCATTAAATAGCTTAACAGAGCACAGCTTAGCTAGACTATCTAGCTAGTTCAGTAGTAGAACCCACAAGAACCAGATTACCTTCATCTTTGAGCAGTAGCCTCTACTGCGTTTATAACAAAAAGTTGGTAGAAGAATTTCATATAAGAGACACATCGGAATGTTTTAACCGGCATGTTAGAGCAGCATCTAGCGCCTAACATAATTATGACAAAAAAAAATGTGAAAAAAAAATTCATATGGGAGACGCAATCTGAATTTTCAGTTGTTTACTGAATTGCGATGGCCGATTGTCAGAGATATCCCATTTGGTGGAGAAAGGTCCCCCGCAGCGTATGGCTGATATCAAGCTCAGTAAATGCGTCGCGAAGTCATTGAAGACGCAATGGTAGGATTTGCCGTCCGTGCATGAGGGCCAGTGTCGCCTTACGCCACGCATGTACTGTCACTCGTTTGCTGTGAATTATTGTGAAGTACTCAGGAAATAGCATATATGTTAGAGCACGCATATATATACTCGTGATTGTAAGCGGTAATGTTTCATGGCTGTACATATTAATCAAAATGTGCGCAATTATATCTTCTTAGCTCGCTGTATAGCTGGCGTATATGTGGTAGGCGCCGATCTGACGCCGCGTGTTTCAGGTTTAGTGTCTACCTTGAAACCTTCCCGGAGGAGACCGATGACAATGAGGAGCAGGCAACGGCAAAGTTGTATCAGCCACTGCAAGGGAAAAGAAACGTGAGTGACGTTATACGAGGGCAGGCCGCTGATGGCCTCGCTCTTCTCCATGCTTGGGCCCGTGCGCTTGCTTTGTGGGCCTCCTGTAGCATTGTCATTTAAATGGGCCTTAACCCGCTTCTCATACTACAGCTCATAGGATCTATGTCCCCCAGACGGTATACCGGAACGTACCCTGGTAACTATCTGATATGGTTAGGGTTGGGTTAGGGTTAGAGAGTAGGCGTAGGCGACTCCCTAGACTCGTTAGTGGAGTAGGCGAGGTACGGTCCGCATATTCAGATATAGTACTCAGGGTACCGTTCGCGATATAATCGAACCGAACCCAGGGTACCCTACCGATAGGTACGCGCCTGGGGACATAGACTCTCTCGACCATACTACACGCGCTTGAAGAATCTATAGAATCTCATCCATGGATTCCCATGGATAGGCTACGATCACGTAACATTACTGTTATTAGAATTTACTATTCATGTTAAAAAAAATTATATATATTAATTAATTAATAGTATTAATATATAATATATATATTAATATAATATATACTAAGTATATATATAATGATAATTATATTATAAATCCACATTAACAATTTAATTATATGCGAGATTCGGGATAGCGGTGTGGAAGCAGCAGGGATTGCTTTGTGTGTTTGTTTTGCAGAAAGCGCTGTGGATGATGTTCCTACAGAGCTGTGATGAGTTACACACGCGCGACCTCATCCGAAGCCAGACTACAGCTACGGCCAAGTTCAAATCGTTGCGCTGAAGCAGGAACCTCGGCCAAGGCCGAGTTAAAGCATGAGTGAGTACCGCGTGAGCGCACGACGCTAGCCCGCCGCACCAACGTGACCACAGGCGTGCACGCAACGCATGCGCCGCATGCTGTTGTCTTCTTCTGTTATTTATCTGTTGCCTTGCATCTATTTCTTAGCGTTACATTTAGATGCCAAATTGTAATCGCGCATTCACATGACCACGGTGCCTGATTCTTACGTGGCAGCTTGTTGCATCACGCGCGGCCATCTTAGATACATGTAATGTTAAAGAGAGGCCAAGATAAAAAACAAACAGATTGGACGATCTTCAGCCGCTACGGTTTGTCACTGGTGACTTTCCGCGGTCACACTTCGCGTCGTCGTAACCTTTTGTGTTGCCACCACGCTCGTCATGTAACGCAGTCACCCGTGTTTCGTGCACTCACGGTGGCCCCGCGGGCGCGCGTGTTGACGTCATCCCCCTTCCTTCCACGCCTATTCGCTGTCGTTAAGTTTTCGGCGTCGTTGCCCAATATCACTGATCTATTACATAACTCAGTGTTGCAGTGATCTAGTTATTCAGCTCATTTATTCATCAGTATTTATTTCAATCGAGTTAATTCAGTCATTTACTTCATTCAGTCCTTATTTCAATCAGTTATTCATCAAGGGATTCAGGTGATGCAGCGTGTGAGTGATATAGGGGATCCACGTGTTCCCATGTCTGCTCGGCAGAGAGAAGGACAGCCGGGATCTGAACCCTAGAGCGCAGTCGGCGCTGAGAGGTGCTAGCCGCGGATGCAGCTGCAGCAGGAGCAGACCCCGTGCGTACGATGTCCGCAACAAAGCCGTCTCGTCGACAAGCTCGTCTACATATCGAGTTCTGGTGAAGTTGAACAAAGTACGGTAGTAATTACACCGGCCACCGGCGCACAACATTCGTGTAACGTGTGATGATCAACTATCGCTCGTTGGCGGGCCGAGGACTGCTTTCATTGATCATTCAATCAAACCCATTCGCCTAATTAAGAGAGAGAGAGAGAGAGAGAGAGAGAGAGAGAGAGAGAGAGAGAGAGAGAGAGAGAGAGCGAGAGATAGAAAGCGAGAGAGTGAGAAAGATAGAAAGCGAGAGAGAGAGAGAACGATCTCTAGCCAATCTATGTTGCGATAAGACGTTCCAAAAACAATGATTATCAACGAAGGGTCCGGCAAGGCAGTGCAAAGAAGCAATCCAAAATTGACATTTTGGCGCGCGCGCGTGTGAAACTATAGATATCATGCGCTCATCGTGTAGTGTAAGATATCTATGAGGAAAATCACGTGCATATCGAGGGAGTTGAAACCGTATCAGAAGGGGGAGTGGGCGTGTCTTGCTCACGCGGATGGGTGGACTCGAAGCTCATCAGCTATTGGTGAATAATCCCACAGCTAGATGACATCATCGTACATGCGGAAGGGGAGTGAGCGCATGTGTTTCACCATCTCACCATATCACTAACACACATTGCGCAAAGAAGGGAGTGAGTGCACCTGTGTGCGTGTGTGTGTGTGTGTGTGTGTGTGCGCGCGCGCGTGTGCGTGCGTGCGTGCGTGTGTGTGTGCGTACGTGCGTGCGTGCGTGCGTGTGTGTGTGCGCCCGCGCATGTGTGTACTGTATGTGTATGTGTGTGCGTGTGCGCGCGAGCGTGCGAGCGTGTGCGTGCGCCTCGCCACTTTACCACCACTAACAGGCTGCTGTATTATTACACAGATTTAAGACCATGGCCGACAACGTCGCACAGTCGGCTGCCCAGGGTCACTACACGCCAGCCGACGAAGCCGCGCTCGAGAAGAAAGCGCGGGCCATTGCCGAGTGTTACCTCGACTCGCTGGTCCACCCTAGAGTGCAGGTGAGAACACAGATGAACCTAGAGTACAGGTGAAAACAGAGATTGCCTAGAGTACAGGTGATGACAGACATGTGCCTAGAGTACTGGTGAGGAAACACACCGACATCACAGCTAATCTCTCCTCTAACAGTACTACTCGCTCTTGCTATCAGTTCGTTAGAAGTGACAACGCCTCGCCTCACACCGCGAATATTTTCCCTCCTTACACAAGGTGAACATTTCTACCGACATGGCGGATGGCATATTGGACGCATTGAATAGTGGGATGGTGGACAGAGGCCTTTTCCACGTTGCCACCATGAGCATATTTACCGTGCTCGTGTACGAATGGAAAAAGTAAGGCGAGAAATATTCGAGACGCAGCGATTTTGTAAAAAGCAGACTTTTGTATCTAGTCTACCGTAGGCGCGGGAAGGATTTAACTAACTACCGTATGTACATTCGTATTGAGATAGAGAGCCGTATAAGCTACACGATTTATCAGTCAATGATCAAATGAGTGAGTGAATCAAAGGCTATGCATTAGTGAATGCATGAATTCATGAATAAACAAACAGGCAAACAAACGGATGAATGAACGGCAAATTAGTGAATAAATAAATGAATGAGCGAACGAACGAACAAACGATCGAACGGAATGAACGATCTATCAAACCAACGATCGAATGAATGAACGAGATTAAATGAATTAAGTATTCGATGTCATCGTCGTTCTAAATCGATGTTAATAAATATCGATGCTATACGCAGTAAATGTTACACTGTGCGTAAAAAAATAATACTATGTATGTCTTCTGTGGAGATTCTGCCGGCATAGGTTTTCGCCTGCATCTGCTGCCGGTGACGGAGGCTGCGAGAAGAAGAAATTGCTCACCCCGCACCCGTCATTCATCGCACCCGACTATCTGCGTATGGACATCAACAGCTACCAGAAACAGCTTTCCCAACACGGTTAGTACACAGCGTCAGGCATTTGCTCATTAATTTCACCTAACCGGCTACTTTCAATTTTTACTCTTTTTTTGCTCAATCGTTTCCCCAATCGAATAACTGCCTCTGCTGCTAACGTGCCTCCTGACCTGGATTATACGGCTAAAATGAAAAATTACGTGGAAATGACACCTATGACGACGCGATGTAGAGGTGATAGCCCACCGGGGGGCGACAACAGCGTGCCATCATAAGCACCGTAGTCGGGGCATACAGAAAGCGCGGCCATAACCTCTCTCTGTGTTCGTCGCCAATTTCCAGAAGACGATCCACCCAGGTTGAGCTTCTCGCTCACCAGAGGGCTCCGTAAGCTAATCCCGCTGCCGAAGGAGTTTGACGGTGGCGACCCTCCGCTGCAACACACATCGCGCATGTCGATGACGACCCAAGATCGGCACGCGTTCGCTCCCGCTAACCCCGGCCGGGCCCCGTCCACCCTAATCAACCACAGTCGGGCCCCGTCCACCCTCATCAACCACAGTCGGGCCCCGTCTACGATGAGGGGACGGCGAATGTCGTACGACAGACGAGGATTGGATGCTGCGTGGGAGGATGATGCGAGCAAGCAAGGGCGTGACCACGACGTACGCAGCGGGGAGAGGCTTCCTGTGCTGCCCTAGCACCTATACCAGCACCGAGCAGAATTACACAGAGAAGACAGATAGGAGAAATCGGAAAAAAAGAGAGAAAGAGAAGGGGGAAGCGAGAGAAAGAGAAAGAGAGAGAGAGAGAGAGAGAGAGAGAGAGAGAGAGAGGAGGGATAAGTGGGAGGGAGGGTGAGACAGGGAAGGAATGAGGGAGAGAGTGAGAGTTAAAGTGAGAGAGGGGGAGGAGGGAGACAATGAGTGGTAGAGCGATAGATAGTGAGGGGAGGGAACAAGAGGGGGAGGAGGAAGAGGAGAAGCGAGAGTGCGAGAGAGCTAACAGAGCGTTACAGGTCCCCTTCATCTGGCACATGCAGGGACTGACAGATGTTTGAACGGGGCCATCTACCATCTGCAGCTTCTACACTCTTCGGCACTTCTGTACACGTACTAACTGAACCGATTATCTTATAATTCAACGCAAAATGAAATACGAGTCAATAAAAAGACCAAATGTAAACCGATTATGATATATAACAACGTATTCTCCACTTCACAATAGACAACTGACCGTTTATTGTCGAAAGTTATACCAGATGCCATAAATATGCCACCATTAGGAGTGACATGTTTTTGGAAGATATATCTTTATAATGTATCCATCGTTATAAGAGACGTGTATAATTGTGATTCAATTTGTTTCAACTATTGTTTTTAGAATGAATTAGGAAATTAGTTGCTACCTTCGCTTTTATGCTATCACGGGTGAATAATGATATATAATGATATATGATATGGTATGTGTCATTATTAACCCTTGATGCTATCCACCACACCTTTGCAACTAATTGATTTACCAATAAAAGATTACTTGGTAAAAATGAATATGACAATAACTATTTGGAATTCCAAAGAAACAATAAATGACACCTTCTAGGATATCGGACAGTTCTTGTCACTTGAGAACTTAAAATTACTGACTATAATTTACTATCACGCTAGAACAAACAACTCAAATATGTACCGCCTTATGTTTAGCAAAAATAAATAAAATAATGAGAGGCAAAACCTTCGAATCTTAATTTACAAACATCTTTAATTGTAACAATCAAATGAGTTCCAAACAGACTTCGATTTCAGTTGCCTCGTCTCACTGCAAGATATTTAACATGCACGTAAACCGGTATTGGTAACCACGGGTAAAACCTCGCGCGGCTGCTGTTCGAAGCTGTTGCTGCTATTGAATAGCGATAAGCTAAACAACGAGAAATCACAGCAGCTCGTAATTTTTTCCGTGACACAGTTCAACTGTAACAGAATAATCCAGGTGACAGTGTAAACACGCACTGTAAGTTTGGTGCAGAAAACGGACCGAATAAAGGTGCTCAAGACATGACTATAATACGAGGTTAGGTAATAGTAGAACTATTAGGTGTCTAGAAACTTCCTCTGCGCTAGCAGGAAGTAGTGATTCCTAGCTTAGTAAAGAAGTAAATTGCATTAGTTATGTTGCTAACCTTAAGAGGTCTAACAGAAGGTATGTTAGTCAACACACCCATTGCACTGCTAGCTAGTTCATATGTTTACTAACAACATAAATGGCTTCACGTACAGGATATCGTTACAGTCACTCCTGTGACGCAAGGCTAAATGCACCTGGATTAACATGAGGAACAGTTTCCTTGTGTATTTAGGAAATAGCAATAGAAAAGCAGAAGTAGTTTTAGAAACACCAATGGTAAATAGGAATTTAGCGAACAGAGGTCTGGTTACAAACAAGTAACAATGCTCATGTTACCACATCTTTGCTGTGGGACAAAGCCATGAGGACCATTCAGGTGTTACAATGATTGTCATACAGATATTGGGATTTCAGGTACCGAAATTACCATAAATTTAAGTTTGTTTAAAAATGGTTTGTCCTATCCATCGCACACAGCCATGACCTTTAGCACTGACCTTCATGCTTGAACTTGCAATGTATTTGTAACGCGTTTCAAATATGTATGATGTAAGTGATACGAATAACTCTCTATTAACAATTTGTTCACATTTGAATTTTAGTCGCTAGAGCTTTACATGCTGCATTTCCGAACTGACTTTGGTTATAAAACTGTTTGGCAGAAAACTAGATGTAGGTGTTCGAGTGCACATTTTTTGTCCTCTATCTTGCTGTCCATGCGTGTTACGCGCTGACACGTTTCGGTAACCACTCCAGCCACGTCGGCGGTAAACATGATTCCAACTGTGAACTACTATTTTCAGTTATTAAAATGCTGTATTCAATTATTCATGTTACACTTTTATAACAAGACATAACGGCAAGTCCTTTGCCTCTTATATATTGCCTCAATATTGCAAGCAGTCCATGCATACTCTTCACTTTAAAATACTACCAATAATCCTGGAGTGTAAAATCAAGCTCACATGTTACCTCCCAGAGATACACGCCCGGTACTGCTCATATGTTACACATGTCCTGCTTCATTAGAAGGGCTGTGTAATCTCTTTTCCCACAGGAAGCGCACGATGGATCATTTGATTTCAGCGGCTTCCTTTGTGTTCAGGTTCACGCAACATGGACTGTTGTCAAGAAATTTATGCAACTTACAAACTATACAACATTCATAATGCCGAGGTCCAACTCTACATGAGTACAACATCAGTTACCACCCAGCTCATTACCCCGCCCCCATTGGTATCCACCTCCTCCTCCTCCTCCGCCACCTCCTCCTCCTCCTGCCTGCGCTCTTCTGGATGCAGGTGCCACTCCAAAGCCACTGACTGTACCGCGTTCATTTGGAAAGTAGTTGTACCTGCAAACAGAGGATCCTCATTATCATGTCAAACAAAAGTTCAACCTCAACATAAATACCATTTCCCATGTTCTACATCCGTGGCGCAAACAGACAAACGCCGACGTCGACGCAGACGTTTTTGCCGAAGCTTCAAAAGAAGTAGACATTTCATTTCTACTGGCTTATTTGGTAGATGCGTCATTACATTATTAGGCCACCCTTAAAAAATTGTTTGTTTCCCCTTTACCTACTCGCCTCTCAGGGTACCGAGTAGGTAGGTAGGTGAAAAATCTTTTTTATTTTGTTTTGACAAGATGTGTGTATGTCTATTGTATATTCTGTTTTGTGTATATGTTTTTGCGACAAATTTGATTTTTTTTTGTGGAGAAACGAAATAATTTTTGTTTTGTTTTAATCGGCCAATAAAATGTGTCGAGTAGTGGCGTTTTGGCGAGTCGGTCGGTAAAGGGGAAACAAGCGATATTTTATCTTAGGCCCAACAGTCTGCTACTCACAGTATCTGTGGTGTGCTGAGGAGCCGTCGGCCACCAAAGTCCTGTGGGTACTTGAACATGAGGAAGAAGTAGAGATGTCCGACAAGGATGCCAAGGACGTCCGTGAAACCTCTGCACGAAGAAAACCCACCTCAGAGAATAGCGTCGGCAGTCGCCTCCGTGGTTATGTTACATTACGATATATGTGAATGGAAGGCCTGGACTATCTCTACACGATACAAATGCTCTGCACCAATCCTAACTGAATCGCTCGGTGTCGTCAAGCGATAAATTTAGCGATGAACATCGTAGAGTTGGGTTCTGTTCTGATATTTGTGGGGGATTCCTTGTGCAGGAGATAATGGTGACCTTACATGCACTAAAGCTCACACCATGACACTCTTCTACTGTGCTAAGTGCATGATGTTCTATATTTTTAACGTGATATTTGCATATTTAGTTGCCCTTCAGCCACGGAAACTTACCCGCCTCTGATGATCATGTTGAAAGCTAGCAAGACCCATGGAAGGTACATCGCCTGTCAGTAAAAAAACAGATGTAAATTGCAAGCAGTATTTCTTAGAGATCATCTTCTGATGCTTACAATCAATATATTATTACCTGAGACTTTTCTTATATACTTGAACCACCAAAGCAAAGTTGTCATCAAGGGTACTTAACCAAGTTTTACAAACAGAGGAATAGGCAAGCAAGATACAGTAGTCATACAGAAAAATATCTTCATGTAAGAAGAGCCCCTCTCGGTAAACATTGTGAACACTAGCGCCATCGACAATAAGATTTAGAATTACCTTGAACTGTGTGCCAAACCAGAACTGGACAATCTGATCTCTATTTAGCTGACACCAGACGTAGAGCACAGAAAGTATCATCAGATCCATGAGAAGCTGTAAACGAACATTTCCAAATGATTAAGTCTAAGGCTACTTGCATACTGCTATAGTCAAACCAGTAAATAACCGCCACCCAAGGGAAATAACAGGGGGTTTATGTACACTCGGTTATTCCACAGGAGTTTCACTGTATAACTGCTATTCAATGGAATAAACTTAAGTGACGCTCATAGGGTCTATGTCACCCAGGGTACTGCCGGAACGTACCCTGGGTACGGTCCGGTATACCGGAACGTACCCTGGTAACTATCTGATATGGTTAGGGTTAGGGTTAGGGAGTAGGCATAGGCGACTCCCTAGACTCGATAGTGGAGTAGGCGAAGTATACGGTCCGGCATATTAGATAGTACCAGGGTACGTTTCGGTATACCGGACCGTACCCAGGGTACGTTCCGGCAGTACCCTGGGGGACATAGACCCTCTCAGCTTAAGTGACCTTTACAGATAGGTGGTCGTTCTACATATATAGCATTTTTTTAACTATATTATATGACATTTTCATCATAACAGCACAGTGCAATAGTAACTTGTAGATGCTTCATAATGATAAATTGCCAGTAGGATCTAAATATATAATAATATGATGTTTGCACTCACCATTATTTCAGCTAAGAAACCAATGATCTACAACAATAAATCAAGGACCAAACCACATCATCAAATGCTTCTAAACGTATCAGTTCCTGTCTTCCATTTCAGTTATGCACTATAGGCTAGCATCTAGACTCTAGAGTAATTGACTTTGTTTTTCTCTCGTCTCTGTATATTTTTTAAAGGATACGACCAAGCTAAGCCAGCAGAAGCCCAGCATGAACAGGTAGTCAGCCGGCCTTCCAAAAAACGTGCCTAAAATTGCAGACAGTGAAGAACTATTTAGTGCAACCCTAGAGACAAGGAACAGCATGCTGCATGTCTCCATTCCTGTGACCCTGAGCAAAATCCCATTTCCTTGCCAATGACATGAAATGTCACGAATGGTAACAACACTCACAGCCATGTTATGCAACCAGAGACTCACAATAATTTATGAAGGATACATATTTACAACTTCTATAAAAGTTTTTGTCATTAATTCTGCTTTTAAAACTTTGGATTACATAAATAGTCCATAAAACATCACCTCTAGTTTATAAACTGTTAGTTCTATGTATATATATATATTATATATCTATATCTATAATATAATAGTAGAAAGAGCCGAAGTGTCGTTTTCCGTATCTCCTCCGAAACCGTGCCACGTGTCCTCACGCGAATCGAGCTGGGGCACTTTCTGGGCGTCCCAAATACATTCCGCTACGTTAGAACGCGATTTTTCGATCGTAACGTGACTTTTGGAGGCAATTTTCTAACAAGGTTAATTTGCGTGAAGAAACTTTGGCATTCATCAGATTTTTTAGGATCGCCAAATTTTAGGATCGCCAAATCCGCATGCGCACACACGCACACACCAAAGCCATTGCGGCTGCAATGTATAAACAACCAAGCACTGCCGCGCACAGCTGTGAGGTGAAAATTTAAAGGGAGAGTTTACTCTAGGTTCTAGGGTTATTTTAGGTTATAACGAGACTTGGAAAAACCTGGCATCAAAAATTTCAAGTGGATCATACTCGGAGATACCTTGAGAAAGGTGAGAATCCCCCAGGAAAATCAATAAGACCACACATTTACGAAAAAATCAAGCAAATAGACAAAACTAGGCATAATAAAAAAATCATGGATTGGAACGTCAGAACTACACATGGCTTAAAGTATTTCTACAGCAACATTGATACGCTCTCCAACAAAAAATCTGAAATTCTTGCCATGGTTGATGTAACTTCTCCTGATATTATAGGTCTGGCCGAAATAAAATCTAAAAATACAGATGGCAACTTATTAGCGCTCACTGAGCTAGTAATCCCAGGATACGAATGCTGGCCTGATATCATTGGTAACCCGGGCAGAGGTGTAGTCATGTGGACGAAATGCAGTCTGGACGTTACACAGATCGATGGTCCAATCAAGGTGCACGACAGCATCCTATGCGAAATCCGTCTCCGCAACAAAGACAAGCTCTTGGTAGGCTGCATATACCGCTCCCCTAACAGCAGCACCGAGCATAATGACAAAGTCTGTCAGCTAATCAAGTGGGCATCTTCCCTAAACTACTCGCATATGGTCCTGGCTGGAGACTTCAATTTTCGAGAAATTTGTTGGAACTCTAACAGATGTAGAGCCAGTAAATCATCCAGCTTCGAAATTTTTATAAGGAATAAATGACATGATCTAACACACACTGTAGACGAGCTACACGACTACAGACTCCTGGCAAACACCTACACAAATAGATCTATAATATCAAATAACCCAACATGATAAGACATCGACTGTCTCTCCACCCCATCGTCGTAGTCACATGCATCACTGCTCTTAACATCAACGTGTCGTTGAGTTTAACCGACAGTCGGCCCGCCACGAAAAACGTAATCAATATACCATAATGAATTACGATGGCTTCTCAGGCCAGTTGTACAACAACAGTGTGGAAATTAACCCACAGAGCTCCCCACTCGCCGATAATCTGACTACGAACTGTAACCGAAGTATTTAACGAAGGTAGTTTAAATTCATATCGACCACAAACAGTGAGGGACGAATACAAGTAGGAGAGCGTGTGGAGGAGTAAAGAACAGATATAACTGTCTAAATCAAAAAATCGAGCTTCAGACATTTCGGCTAAAAATCTGGGCGAAGGGGTAGAAGAATACTACAAACTACGCAACAATCAAGTGTCCGCCTAATTAGATCTGCTGAGAGGACCTTGCGGAGAAAAAAGTTGCGATGCGAATACCAAATCCAATTTCGCTAGAACAACTTCTTCAACATTTGGCGAACAGCAAGATGAAAGCAAAAAATACAATACGATAGCTGAAAACTAAAGAGACAAAAATGCCATCATCTTATTTAGAAAAAGCCCGTACTGAAATGTAATACTTGGCTAGCGATATTTACTATGGAGGAGTACTTTCATAATATGCCAGTAATTAATCAACATGACAAGACAGCCCCGATGTCCACATAGATGTTACGATGTGGCCAAAGTCGTTAAACAGCACTAGATGCAAACACACACCAGGTCAATAACATCCATTCCTCGCATCCTAAAGACGCTAGCAGAGGTGATTGCCCCAGTGCCGGTTCACCCAGTAATTTTAACGAGATCAATCGACTCGGGAGCGAAGTCCTCATATGTCGGCACGTATGGCCACACGTCCGCCAATATTTTAAGAAAGGGAGCAAACAAGCTGCCTAGAAATTACAGGCCGGTGAGCCGACCTGCATTTTATTGCAAACTGTTGGAAGGAATGATCACGCGAAGTCGATCATCAATCATGATGGACTGCCGCAGACCTACTCGCAGCTGAGCAATACGCGCGTTCAGAAAAGCCGATTCATGCAGCCTCTTCAGATGGATGGTTGTTTTGGAGAATGGTACTGATCATTGGAGAGAAAGAGAAGCCCATAGGATATTGGTATACTTTGACTTTCAGCAAAGGCGTTTGACAAACGGTGCCACACGAATGCACAACGCAGTAAGTTATGATCTCTGGCGGGATCAGAGGACGTAACACACTTTGCTGGGGATATAAAAAATACGCCTTAGCAACAGAGAACAGAGGGTGATAAATGCGTGAGGTTTGCCACACCAGATTACCGGAGTAACAAGTGGCGTGCCCCAATGGCAGGTCGGTGTACTCGCGCCAGCCACTATTTATTTATATCATAAATGAGTCTTCCAGGGTGGCGATACCCTAACAAAATGCCGCCTCACCTTCCTGCTCGACGACGACAAAACTATTATGGCCAAAGCTAGCTAGCGTAGAAGCGTGTCAAAACATTCAAGAAGATGGGGATAGGTGTAAAGGAAAAATGGCCGGCTACATTGGCAGATGAAATTGCCATCCTATAAAATGGTAAGAGTACTTCAGACTAGGAACAGTCACGCTGACTATAGCTACAAAATGGAGGGGAAGCAAACACTAGTGTCGGTTCTGGATATTCGTTGAGCAACAGCAGGATCTCTTATTATCACAGCAAACGCCTCACCTTGAAGACCATATAAATACGAAAGTGGTGCGCAGCAAGGGCATAGCGGCTAATCGATGCGCACCTCTCCATTACATGTCACAAAAAGATATATTTAGGATTACTGTTCAAATCCCTGTAAGAGCCATATGAATACGGTGCGTATAACACTAGTGTTACCTGCGCCCATTATCAGACGAGCACTGCGGGTCCTCCACTAAGAGAAATCGAGAGCGGAGGGTACAACGAGCAATGCCACCATAACAGAATACCCGGCCTTGTTACGAAAATCTGTTCGTGGTATGATGAAAGCTACGCGCTGTTAATAATTACCATCACTTTTATACAGAAGAAGACGCGTGCGGTGTACATGATTGAGGTCTGGAAAGCGATTACATGGAAATATACGCGGACGAGCCAATTACGTGGCTCTAAAATTACGACAGCTCCAACACCACTCAAGGTCGTCAGATACAATGAGCTTAAACTGTATTAAACGACAAGTAGATCATACACTCAAAAAGAAATCATTTAGCTTTAGAACCTGTTCCTCAGCGATTGAACTCCCCTGACTCGTAAGAAATTGTGTATATCCAAAAACGATAAATGAATGTCAAAAACAAATTGACAGGCACTGGGTCCACCTGCAATATGACTACCTGTAAGCTAGGTCACATAGTTATTGACTGTAATGAATCTGATCACATGATGCTGTTGAGTACAATGGAAATTTACCTTCGCAACGTATACTCTAGATATCGAAGCTACACAATTACGCACGGACAATACCCAATTTAGAATCAGTCTGTAACAGTCGCGAGGGACTAATGTAACAAAATGGTGAGTTTGAGTGCTATTAATTAGACCGGATACAGCCAGCCCTCGGGCCTATTCCGTAAACCGCTATTCTATTCTATGTTATTTGAAGATTCATGCGGTTGACGTCTTGCCAAATTTTCTTTGGAAATTTTGCGAAAAATACAGGTAATTCGAGGAGCAGTGCTCTGGAATGAACTATAACTTAGTAATGTATGGCCAGAATTTTCAGGGAGTCACACGGACTCAGGACTGCATATGATATAATCTAGGGAGTATTGGCGACTCCAGACTCCGTTAAATTTCGCACCTGAACATTGCCTTCATGAGTTAATACTGACATAGTACCAATGATGAAGGGCATTCTATCAGTTTCAATCATTATTTGTTTATAATTTATACAGAAAACAGCTTAATCGTTGCTACGCCGCCATTAGCAAGATTCCCAATGCTCAATGAGAATCGGTTGACTGCCGTTCGGAGTATTCCGTTCCGTGACAGATTGTGGTTCATACTCTGTCTATTGCCACTACGTGGCTTGGCGTCGGATAGGCATCCTGAACCCATATTGGCATGCTCTCGTTTGCGCGAACTTTCTTGTAGCAGGTTTCAGGGTGTGGGCACAAAACAGAACCATGAACATTAAGCCT